GGTCTTTTCCAACCTAAATACTTCTATGATTGTATCAGAGATGCTGAGAGGGTTCATAAGCTGGGTGACTGCTACGTGGTACGCTCATTGTAGACCAGCAGTGAATGTTTTATATGTTTGCTGGAACTCATCAGGTTATTCTGCAACCTGATGAATTCCACACAGCTCCCCTTTCTCAGTGAGGTTGAGTAATGACTGTCAGACATGTTGCTTTTGAAGAAACATTATAGATAGCCCAAGATGTTCCCTTCCTTAAGTCAGGTAGAGGCAAAGTGGACTTTTCTGCCTCTACAGTGGTTTTGGCCCTGCTGGTTCTAAATAATATTCCCTACAAATGTTTTGTTATGTGTAACTCTGTATTAGCAAGTCTTTGCTTTGCCCCGCCCCACTTCCTATCTGTATAGGTATCTCTCTTTTTATTTATGGTAAGTGGCATTTATCTGGTTGCAAATATTTTGTCTTTGTAATTTTTTACATTTATTGTGCTTTCTGTTCTAATGTTTACAGGGGATACAGCTTCAAATAAATTATGCAGGCCTTTCAAAAATGGATAAGGGAAAGGGATCCAATCTTGCGTAGACCTAAAAAGAAGGGCTCAAACTTAAGGCAGATCGTGGTTTATTAAAATTTGTTTTAATTCTTCCAGATATGCTCAGGGAGAGGCGGTGTCATGGTCAGAGATTAATTCTTCCTTCTCTCGCCCTCATATTTATATATGAACAATAAAGTTCTCAACATAAATCAGTGCTGTTACTGTATCCATGCTGCTCACAGCTACTAGAATTCATTCATATGTGCATAAATCTATGGGGCCGCATGGGGTACATCCTAGACTACTGAGAGAACTGGCAGGGGTGCTCACCAAGCCCCTGTCCATCATTTATCAGCAGTCCTGGCTGACTGAGGAGGTCCCAGCAGGTTGGAAGTCAGCCAATATAACACCCATATATAAGAAGGGAAGGAAGGATGATCCAGAAATTACAGGCCTGTCAGTTTGACTTTAATGCCAGGGAAGCTGATGGAGCAGATCATCTTGAGTTCCATTATGCAGCACATGCAGGACAACGAGGTGATCAAGCCCAGTCAGCATTGGTTGATGAAAGGCAGGTCCTGTTTAAAAAAACTGATCTCCTTCTATGACAGGGTGACCCACTTGTTGGATGAGGGGGAGGCTGTGGATGTCATCTACCTCGACTTTAGTAAGGCGTTTGACACTGTTTCCCACAGTGTTCTCCTAGAGAGATTGACTGCTCTTGGCTTGGATGGGCATAAGGTTTACTGGGTGAAAAACCGGTTGGGTGGCCGAGTCCAGAGTTGTGGTCAAGGGAGTTAAGTCCAGTTGGTGGCCAGTCACGAGTGGTGTCCCCCAGGGCTCTGTACTGGGGCCACTCCTGCTTAACATCTTTATCAACAATTTGGATGAGAGGGTGGAGCGCACCCTTAGTAAGTTTGCAGATGACACCAAGCTGGGTGGAAGTGTTGATCTGCTTGAGGGTAGGAAAGGTCTACAGAGGGATCTAGGTACGCTGGATCACTAAGCCAAGGCCAAGTGCCGGGTCCTGCACTTTGGCCACAACAACCCCCAGCAGCGCTACAGGCTTGGGGAGGAGTGGCTGGAGAGCTGCCGGGCAGAGAGGGGCCTGGGGATGTTGACTGACAGCCGGCTGGACAGGAGGCAGCAGTGTGCCCAGGGGGGCAAGAGTCCTGGCCTGTATCAGGAATGGTGTTGTCAGCAGGAGTAGGGAGGTGAATGTGCCCCTGTACTCGGCTTTGATGAGGCCGCACCTTGAGTACTGTGTCCAGTTTTGGGCCCCTCTCTGCGAGAAGGACATTGAGGTGCTAGAGAGGGCACAGAGGTGGGCTACCAAGGTAGTAAAGGGTTTGGAGCATGTCTTGTATGAGGAATGGCTGAGGGATCTGGGGCTGTTTAGCCTGAAGCAGAGAAGGCTGAGAGGCTATCTCAAACCTAGGGGAAAGTAGTTGAGAAGAGATACTCTCTTTCTCCACTGACTTATCTCAGAGGAAAAGACCATGAATAATTTCACAAGCTTCTAACACATTGGACTGCAAAGACATATACAGTGGAAAACTTGTTGCTGCTCTATATTTTCACTCTCTATAACTACCTGAAAGGTAGGGGTCGGTCTGTCCTCACTAGTAACAAGAGATAGAACAAGGGGAAATGGCCTTAAGCTGCACCAGAGGAGGTTCAGGCTGGATATTAGGAAGAATTTCTTTACTGAAAGGGTTGTCAGGCATTGGAACAGCCTGCCCAGGGAGGTGGTGGAGTCACCATCCCTGGAGGTGTTTAAGAGATGAGTAGATGTTGTACTTGGGGATATGGTTTAGTGGTGTTGGTAGAGCTAGGACAAAGGTTGGACTCCATGATCTTGAAGGTCTCTTCCAACCGAAACTGTTCTATGATTCTATGAAAATAAAGTAACTGTTACTTCTAGTTATCATATTTTGCTCACTACTAAAGAGGGAATGTTTACTGCATGTTAACTAGTGTAAACCTTTGCAAACTGAATATAGTTGTGTTTTGATATGAGATTTACAACTGTCTCCAAGTTTGTGAAGATAAGCCTGTATCATTAGGGATTAATAGCTCTTCATGCACGTTTAAAAAAAAATATGTTTGAGTGTATAATCGTGTCAGAATTCCTGGTATTAATCTTTTTGTTTTGACACTTTTAATTGAGATTTCATAGTAGTAAAAGAGAATAAATTTTTTCTTTACCCTTTCTTTGGGCTGGCTTGTCTTTTCTTATACAGCTGCAATGTAACACTAAAATAAGTATGATAGACTTGGTTTATCTTCCTTTTGTGACTGAACTCATAGTAAACAACTGCTGTCCCTTGGTCTGTCGCACTGTTTTCCTCGCCATCCTCTGTTGCATGGCAAGCAGAACGCAAGTTGTGATCTGCTTTACTTAGTCTGCAGTGATGCCGACTTGGACAAATCACAGAACTGGTACTTCATCCTTTATTTCCTGCGCACATTGGTGCTATTGAGTATATTCCTCTCCTGGATTCTGGTCTTGTTCTGGTTGATTTTACTGCTTATAATTTGATCATACAGCATATCCTTCTTCGATCCTCCTCAGCCTCATATAGTATTCGGTGTTCTGGGCCTCTTTGTATGACTTGCCATTGGGCTATTTATCTCGCAAACACAAGTTTGACTCTTACCTCTGCAACACAAGTAGCTGGTGGCGTTTGGGCAGAATGATGAAACCTAGTCTGTGCCCTCATGATTGTATTTACTACTCTTTTTTTTGTTGTTGTTGTTTTGTTTTGTTTTCCTTCTCAATCCTTCCACAACAGTTTGGCAAATAAGATCTTGACCTGTTCAGATTTATCCCAGGAGCTCAGCAAGGTTTACTTACTTTGACTGAGGCACCTCTCCACTTTCTGTTGACTTGCAACATCCAAACAGCTTGTCCTCAGCCTTTCTTCCGTTAAATGCTAGATTGTTGTGTGAGAAATCAATATATAAAGCTCTCGAACGAACTTGTTCTACTCATGCTACCCCTATGTAAGGTTTTGTCTGCAGACTCTTGCCATATGTGGTAACTTTCAGAAGAGTTTAGTAGTATCTCAAGCTGCTTTGCCAACCCTAAAATAAGCATGATTAAAAGTAACTTATTCTGAAGAACTTGGGAATTTCTTTGTATGTGGGAGAAACTTAGTGAAACTTATGAGCAACTTTGTTGCAGGTTGGAAAATGCTTTCTATGAGCATGCACAGACTTACTATTATACAGAAATACGAAGAGTTAAATCTCATAAGGAGTTCTTGAACAAAACCACTCATCAGGTAATGTTACCCTATTTTTGAAATAGTGTGCAATTATATTGCATGTTAAAACATGAAAATACGGGGGGTTTGTTACTTAAAGGTTTTTATTGCCCCCTCTTACAACTTGAGATGCCTTCCATCAGTATAGAAAGTAAATCTAATTTTAACTTAAACTTTGATTTTAATTGGTTTTGTTCTTACACATATTTGTTTTCTTCACATCTTAGAGGAAGAGCTGCAGCCCAAAAATGAATTTCTCAAACTGAAAAAAAAAAAAAAGTTTCTAATTGTCTATGTGGTTTAACCTGTTTGAATGCAGTATCTTAACAAGTTGTGGGAAGTGCTTCCCTTAGACATTTTGAATTTAAAGTTGGACTTGATTTGGCTTTTTAACTTCTTTTCAAATTGTGAAATATCTGCTTAGACACACAACGTTCTATGGCAATTCCCTCTCTTGGAAGCTGGGGTCCAAGTGATGAGCTCTGAACCAACAGTTGACACTGTTGTTGTAGAGATTTTGGGGTGTTACAAAGCCTCTCCCCTGTTCTGGGGTAAAAGACTTGGAATGGATTAAATCTGTTGAAAGATCACTGCTGCATCATGGTGGCAGAGAGAACTATTAGGAAACAGTTGTATAGTCAGTTTTTCAAATCAACTGCTATGTTATGTAAACCTCTGACATTATCACCTGTATCTGCTTTGTAGGTAACAGGTATGTTCAGATGTTTGAATGATGTATGCTGGTTGTGTCTTGCAGCTTTTATTTGTTAGACACCAGTTCAAAATAGCATTCTTCAGTGAGCTGAAACAGGATACGCAGAATGCTCTCAAGTAAGACTCATGTAATCTTCCCCCACCCTCTCTACTCCAAATGCTGTGCTAAGCCATAGACTATGAGAAATATTTTCCTGAATACAAAATATTTTAAGCCTGTATGTAAGGAGTGAGTTCTTCACTGGGAAGAATGCTCCGATTGGAAGGCTGTTTGCTGCTGTTGGCAATCCTGTTCTTAAATTTTATTATCTTATATGATTTAGCCCTAATTTAAGTATTCCTGCTTAGAAATTACAGAACGGCCTATAATCTTGTGCATGAATTGAGGGCTCATGAAACAAACATGCTGGAAATCAAGACCATGGCAGGATTTATAAACTACAAGGTAACAAGTATACTTCTAATCTTTGACAACCTCTACTTAAAAAAAAAAAAAAAAAAAAGACGTTGATGCATCTTTAATGTGTAGATGTTTAAAAGTTCCATTTCGTATTGCTTTTAAGGAGATAGATTAGAAACAGCTGTCAGTGGAATACTAATTACACTCAGACTTGCAAAGACTTATGAATTCCACGCAATAGAAAGATCTTTAGCTGAAGTTTGGGAATACCTTGAAGGACTGGAGTTCATTTGAGATGCAGTCATCTGAAAGTCTAGACTGTCTTTAACTCTCGCTCTGTGCAGGGGGAATGAGAACAAGGATTGCTTGTTCCTTGAATATTGTTGTCGTCTTGCAAAGCATAAGCCAGTATAGTTCGGTTATTGATTGTTAGGAGGAGGAAAGTAACTCTTTAAGAATCAGACCATACATTTGTGGTATTTTGGGGGCTTTTAGGTAAAAGAAAACTATCCCACCATTTGCAGCAATCCTGGAGTTGGACTCCGTCAAATTCCATTTGCAGACTGCTTCAAAGATAATGATCTTGCTAATGGCTCTGCAGTTCCATCTTGAATTTGTCAGCAAGTTGTGCACCATTCTATTGTTGATTTGAGGGAGAAGGGGAAATAAAATAACATTAGATGAAATAGAGGCCCAGATGGTTTCAGGTGTAGTACATTCTGGTTTACATCTATCTTTCTTCCTCTGTTTTCTATGCTAATTTGAGCTCTTCAGAAATATGTGAAGTCGGTTTGGGGGGTTTCTGTGAGTGGCTTTATTTTTTTTTTTTTTAAAGCTAATCCTTAGCAGCCTAACACAGTCATTTTTCCTTTTATTTTGATTTCTTCTAGATCTGTCGCCTCTGTTTTCAGCATAATACTCCACTCGATGCAATTGCTCAGTTCAGGAAACATATTGACTTGTGCAAGAAAAAAATAGGAAGTGCAGAACTGGCGTTTGAGCATGCTGCCTGGATGTCTAAACAGTATGTTTTTGCTTAGTAATGTTTCTGGTTTAGTTCTTGTATAACCTTGGGAAGTTCACTGTTTTACTTGTCTTTACTTGCAAGATACAAATTCTGAGCTCTTTATCTAAGAAAGAGATAGAGTAGATCATAAAAACTATGTTGTTGTTCTGGTTTGCGTTGATTATTGACCACTTTCCTCTGGGAATGAACAGTGTGTGACACAAATGCAGCCATAGAACTTAGATGCAAAACTTCAAAGAAGTATCATGTGTCTTAAGACTAAACAGAACTTTTAATTGAAGGGTACCTTTCAGTTCAAATTGCTGTTCCATGCATAATCTTGTTTATGATTTTTTTTTTTTTAATAGGTTTCAGGCTTTTGGTGACTTGTTTGATGAAGCAATTAAGCTGGGATTGACAGCAATTCAAACTCAGAACCCAGGTTTCTATTACCAGCAGGCAGCCTACTATGCACAGGAACGGAAACAACTAGCAAGTATGCTTTGTAACCATGATGTAAGTTGAGAGAGGAGAAAATGCTTTGCAAGTAACCAGGTAGTAAATTACCTAATGTTTTAGTCTCAAATGGTAGTGGAACAATCTGTAATTGTAAATGAAATCCAAGGAAAGGATATGTGTTTTTCTGATGCTTACTAACTAACATTACAAGTATTTGTTATGTATTGGAAAAGATGCTCCAGAACAAATGCATTAGTGTTTATTTTAGTATAAATAATTCTGACATGTTTTTAAAACACTTATAAAAAACCAGTAGCATACTTTCTACATCTCTGGACACTTGAAAACTTACTGTTTTGTTTTTCCGGTATGTTTCTCTATACATGTACTCTTAGACTTAGAGGAAGCAGAGAAACAAGCGCATTAGTATTAAAGTGTGTTTTGGGGAGTGGTGGTTGTTTGGGTGGTTTTTTGACACTAGCATGGTGGAAAGGGTTGCATGCAAAATTGAACTCTGCAGTCGATTAAACATATGTGCTAACTGTATATAGCTACTCTCCAGCTGATAGTCCCAATTATTTAAACATGTCTTTGCTCCTATTGGTGCTATTTATTTGTTGTTCTTGGATTATCTTGTTAGGAACTAGTTTTAAAAAGGATTACCCAGTTACTTTTTGACAGTATTTGAGACAAATCAAAGTAAATGAAATAGCATGTCAGACTGAATGAAAGTATTTAAATGTTTGGGTTTCCTGAAGTACTGTTTTTGTACAGGTGGCCAGAAAGGTTATATGTTTTAAAGGAAATTTCTTCTATGTGCATGTGTATTGGAGCATCAAATCACTTTTAATTCTTTAAAATGAAACGTGAACCTTTTTTTTATGACTTTATTTGCCAAATTTACAGTCGTCTGTGATATATCCCAATCCGGATCCCCTGGAAACGCAAACGGGAGTGCTTGACTTCTATGGGCAAAGACCGTGGCGGCAGGGAATATTAAGTATGTTTCTGTGTCTTATATCTGTGGAGTTTGAACAAACTGCTTTAGCTGCTGATCCTGCCTTGTCCTAGTGGGCATCAACATGTAATTCCTTTTCCACTGAGACTGATGCAGGGCTGGGACCTCACTGGTCCATTGGTTGGTGGTATGACTTGAACAGGTGTCAGCTGGAAGTGCAGGATGTGTGTTTGATGTCTGTGACAAATAGAAAAAGGACCCTCAGGTTTATGCAGGATCAGATCTTCAACAAAGTTGATAGGCCATACTGAGGCTCTGCTGCTGTTATGTTTCTATTACTGCCTAAGCTACCTGTAATCAGTGTGCTGCA